ACATTAATATTTATTACAGGAGGAGGAGTTTCAGCCAATGAGGGGTGGTGGCAATGTAGGGGGCGTGACCAGTAGTCACTGGTGGGCGCAGGAGGGTGGGGTCTGCCTACCTGTAGCGAGGAGGTGCAGGGGGCGGAGTATGCCATCGAAAGCAGGAGGCGGGGTTCAGTTCCTGACCTGTACCAGGGTGCAGGGGCGGGGTCAGTAGTTAGCCATGGGAGGCCGCAAACGCAGGGGGCGGGATCGATATAGATAAGGTTGGCGGGTGCAGGGGGCGGGGCCGGGATAGAGCTTCCGGGTGGAGGGAGGAGAAACATGGCGGCGCCCATGGAGCTGTATTGCTGGAAGGGAGACTGGGGGCTTCCCAGTGTGGACCCCGACTGCCTGACTGTGCTGGTGAGAGGCCGGGAGAGGGGGAGGTGATGGTGGTGGAGGAGGTGTGTCAGCATTACCGCCATGTCTCTGCGAGGAGGACAGAGGGGAAAATCACCACACGCTGACCCCAACAACCACCTCTACCCTGTCCTACTCTATGCTCCTTCTTTAGATCTACCCCAACCGCCCTTCTCCATCCCCACCCCTGATCTACATCTGCCCCTCACCCTGGAGGGTTATTACTTTTATTTACCATTTTCCCTAATGGTGACAGCTGTCATTGAAAACAAAACCCTTCCTGTCTGTTCCTGGACGGGGGTAGGGGGTGAAAGTACAGCGGGCCCTCCCTGAATGTGGGTCTACGTGTATATATTATACACCCGATAAGGGGTAGGCAACCTCTGCACTCCAGCTATTGTGGAACTACAAGTCCCATGAGGCATTGCATAATTCTGACAACCACAGGCATGACTCCCAAAGCTAGAGGCATGTTAGGGGTTGTAGTTTCACCATAGCTGGAGTGCCGTGGTTGCTCACCTGTCATTTCATCTCCTGCATGTTGGCCCCCAGAACAATCATTGCATGGTGGAGTTCCAGACAAGAAGATGTTTAAATGGAGGGCTTGTACTGAAGAAGCAGAGGGCGAGGGACTAGTCACCAGTATTGCCTGCCGTCCCCCCGCAGCTGATCTTTCCCCCCATTTTTTACTTACCATGCCTTGCTCTGTGTGTCTTCTGCATGGAGAAGGCCATCTTAGTTGAGGAGCGGGGCTTTGCTGTCTTCCTGATGACTGGTGGAGTAATGATGGAGGAAGCACAGATCCACACGAGAAGCAGGGAGATTCTTGCACTGCAGGTCCTCGGGTACAGCTTACTCTCCAGCAAGGAGAACAGAGAGCAACACAGCAGCAAAACTCCCTCCAGAGCTGGAGAGAAGAGCAGCCAGAGGCAGCAGAGACTTGGATAATGTCATACAGCAGATATACAGCTATGAGTATATAGTACTGGAGATCAGAAGTGCCTAGGCACAGGAAGTGCCCTGAGATCAGGAGCGCCTAGGCGCAGGAAGTGCCCTGAGATCAGAAGCGCCTAGGCGCAGGAAGTGCCCTGAGATCAGAAGCGCCTAGGCGCAGGAAGTGCCTTGAGATCAGAAGCGCCTAGGCGCAGGAAGTGCCCTGAGATCAGGAGTGCCTAGGCGCGGGAAGTGCCCTGAGATCAGGAGTGCCTAGGTGCGGGAAGTGCCCTGAGATCAGGAGTGCCTAGGCGCGGGAAGTGCCCTGAGATCAGGAGTGCCTAGGTGCGGGAAGTGTCCTGAGATCAGGAGTGCCTAGGCGCCGGGAAGTGTCCTGAGATCAGGAGTGCCTAGGCGCCGGGAAGTGTCCTGAGATCAGGAGTGCCTAGGCGCCGGGAAGTGTCCTGAGATCAGGAGTGCCTAGGCGCCGGGAAGTGTCCTGAGATCAGGAGTGCCTAGGCGCCGGGAAGTGTCCTGAGATCAGGAGTGCCTAGGCGCCGGGAAGTGTCCTGAGATCAGGAGTGCCTAGGCGCCGGGAAGTGTCCTGAGATCAGGAGTGCCTAGGCGCCGGGAAGTGTCCTGAGATCAGGAGTGCCTAGGCGCCGGGAAGTGTCCTGAGATCAGGAGTGCCTAGGCGCCGGGAAGTGTCCTGAGATCAGGAGTGCCTAGGCGCGGGAAGTGTTTAAGGGGTTTCTCTCATGGTATGCATGTATATCAGTGTATAGGGGAGGCTGTCTCGGGGTGCCTATATATTGGGGTATGAGCGGCGCTGTCTATGGGTGTGTATAGTGGGGCTACGGGGGAGACTTTCTCCAGGTGGGTATAACGAGGAAGACTCTCTCAGGATGTATATATCGAAGAGTAGGGGGGTACACACTCTCCAGGTCTGTATATTTGGGAGGCCCTCACCATGTATATTTTGGGGGTGTGGGGGAGACTCTCAGGGTGTATATATTTTGGGTAAGGTGGTGGCTGACTCGGGGTGTTTATTTCAGGGGTACTTAAGGGGCTTTCTCAGGGTGTGTATTTTGGGGTACAGGGTAGGCTCTATCATAATTTTTATATGTCAGGGTGTGTATATCAGGGTGGGGGGAGGCTGTCTTTGGAAGTGTATATTCGGATATGATTAAGGCTGTCTCTGGGTCTGTAAATTGGGGCTCAGGTATGTATATTGGGGGTATCGTATATATTGCGTGTACGGGGCAGGCTGTCTTAGGGTGTATATACTGAAATACAGGGGAGGTTCACAGTGTGTGTATGTATATCAGGTTTATAGGGGAGGCTGTCTCAGGGTGTATATATTAGGATTCAAGGGAGGTTCTCAAGGTGTATATATTGGGAATACGGGGGAGGCTATTTTAGTGTGTATATATCGTGTACAGGGGAGGCTGTCTCTGTATATTGAGAAATGGGGCTCACTTACATTGAAAACATCGGAGGTACATGGGAGGCTATTTTAGGGTGTTTATAGTGGAGGGTACAGGGGAGGCTCTCTCAGGCTTTATATCAGGGGTACAGGGGAGGCTGTCTCGGTGTGTGTGCATATTAGGTGTCATGGGGAGGT